GGGTCTATATGTTTGATAATCCATTTGTGAATATTTTGGAACAACCGAAGGTTTAACGGTTGATTGTAAAGTTACCTGTGCTAGTGAAATGTTTGTATTTCTTGGTGTTGTTAAATTTGGACGTATCGGTGAAATACTTTGTTGTGTAGTTGTTGTTGTTTGGACGATTTCTTCATTTATGAAGTGTGATGGTGTTTGAATATCTTGTTGTGTAAGATTCCTAGTTCCATTAAGGTTTTCATTGTGTATGACGGTCGAATTTAAACTGTTATTTCGCGTATCAGGTAAAAATGTATTGGAGTTTAATGGTGTTGCATCAATGGTTAATGGTACTACTCTTACATAATTTCTTGTATAAGATATTGTACTTATTGCTTGACTTGAGATTGATTGTGGGATATTTATGAATGCACGATGAGACCATTCGGGGTCCCAAACGTAGTCTGACTGTTCTGTGATGGCGGTATCATCGTTTGAATTTTGAGGTCTGAAATTTTTTCTCGCTTGCGAAATTAAATCTATATTATGTGTGAAATAATCTATTATAAACCATGCCAAAATTTTTTGTAAGTCGTGTTTTGTATGTTGTGAAACTTCATCTTTAGTGAAATTTTCTTTAATTATATGTAGGAAAGTTGAAAATAGTGTGATTTCATGTCGTACCCTTATATGTTTGGATGTCTCTGTCGGTTCGGTGAGACATTTGAGATTGGGGTTTCGTTTTCTAATATTGAAATATAACTATATATTATTGCAAAAACTTCATTAGTAAATATGGAGTTTGCTCTTTGTGAGTTATGATATTGTATGCTTTTTATATATTCTAAGAATACTTTTGAAAATTCTAAGTCAAGATCGTCTGTTTGAATTACATATTTGCGGTGATTCGGGTTTGGTGTACTGAATTCTATGGTGTAGATTCCGTATTGTTGTGTTAAATTACATATATCTTTCAGATAATGATCAATAATTTGTCTTTTTATTTTTACATCTGGGAACTCTGCTTTACATGGGCTAATTCCGGGTTCGATCCACAAGGTTCAGGTATAATTAGAACGCAAGTAGTTCGTTAGATACTATTTTAAACTTACTAAGTCTAAGATCTATCCTGGGTCTGGTAAGAGGAGGGTTCAAGTGAAGGATGAATAACCGAAGTTCTTCACTGTTTATCCTAATTTGAATGATTAGTTTTGTTCAAAAATTTCTATTAGTCTTAGGTTTTTTGAAAGGGTTGGATAGTGAATCGACGTTTGAGGTCGTTAGACACTTGCTAAGTGGGTGGGGGAGAACAAAATTGTTCTTTTGGATCCAAGGATAGGCCTTGATGATCAAGTTTTAAATTTAGTGAAATAGAAAATTAATTAAGATCCAAGGATAAGCCTTGATGATCTGATTTTAAAATTAAGTGAACTTAAGTTTGAAATGGTTTAAATTTGTTTAAGAAAAAGATTTAGTGTTTTAATGATATTAGTAAGCTTATGATTGCTGTTATGTTTAGGTGATGAAGCTGGGACAACTGATGATTTTATGATTACTAACAATTTATTGTCATGCTACTAATTTTTGTTTTGATTTTCAATAAATATTTTCCAAACATGTTTTATATAAGACTGCAGAATTTAGGAAAACGATCTGAGATCTTTTTATCAATCGTTATTGTATAATAATAATTTTGTTTAGCGCCTGAAATGATCATGAAGATTGACTTCAAGATTTTATGTTTGCAAATGAAAATCTAAATTCATTGCTAATAAAATTCTAAATATAAAAGTTTGTGTTGGCTTTTGCCGTACTATCATATAACTATATGGTAAGTTTCTACTTTGTCGTATGTCGTCTCTGGTTCGAGGTCTTCTTCCAATTCCGGGTAGTTCTATTATCGTTCGGAATATTGGCTCTGATCTATTGAGTCGTAGAGACATTTCGATTAAATTATCGTCGTATAACATTTTGAAAATGTTTTGTCTAAATTCTAATCTATTTTTGGTTACTTCTAAGCTATTAAGGTCTTGTTCGAGACTTATGGTCGCACCAGATGAGTTAGAACCGACGTGGTTAACTCATACAGTAATTTCGGATAGGGTACACCGTCTGCTCGTCACGCTATCTTATTTTCGGCCGGATAGATTCGTGCAACTTCTTAGTCTAATACCGATCCTAATCTTACTCTTATACTATCTAGTCTCAGGTTGTTTAACTAGTCTCTGCTAGGCTCAATAGATCTAGGGTATACTGGTTTATTGCGGCTGCTGAAGTTCTCTTGGAGAGGCAACTAATTTCTAAGTTAAATTCAAATCTCTCTGGTGCTGAAATTACAAGTAATTTCAGCACTTACAAATAAGTGGGTTGTTAGTTAGATGGATCATGATTGGTTAATATTAAATACTTTACAGTGGTAAAATATCTAATTTATCCAATCATAAAATGTAGTTTAGATCAGGTTCCATTAGGCTGGCCCAAACGTTTTCTTTTGATTGTTAGAAAAAAATATTTCGGTGGAGGTTTTTCTCAAGCGGGGAGTTCTTAGGGTTTTCTCAAGCCGGGACTTTGGTTTATTTCATTCTTCTCTAATTATATAGCTTAAAGTTTCTTTCAAAACTTTTCTCTAATAAAAAAAAAACGTCATAAATCAAGAAAACAGCAAAAAAAATTGAACATTTTTTTGTTACTTTAGTTGGTTTCTTCTTGTTTTGTCTGTATATTTGCGGTTTGTTGAAAAGCCTGGTATGAGACTTTTGACCAAACAAAACAGAATACGCCAACACACCACAACCTGCAGAAACAATTATTAAATAGAAGTCTTCAAAAAATACAAAAAAAATTAGAAATTGTTTATCTGAATAGCAAGCTTTGAAATAATTAAAAACAGTTAATAACTACGTTAAACAAACAAAAAATAATAAACAAAGGACTTTATTAGAAAAAATAACACAAAAGCAAATTTTTTTTTAAATTATAAAACTAAAATCAAACACACTAAAAGGATGTGGCAGATACTTTGCGCTAATTTTTATCTTTTAAATGAAACGCTGCATTTAAGAGCTTATCGGAAGACCAATCAAACAACACGAATAAAAAGTCGAGAAAAAAATGTGTAAATTTTAGTACTTTGCTCACGAAAAACAACTCATCAAGTAGCAATGATGGCCTGTTGTGAAATGAATTGAATTGAAAAGGAAAGAATCAAGGGTCAAGGGTCGAGTAAATTGGATCAAAAGATACAAATTTTATTCCGCTGAGAAACCAGAAAATGATCACTTTATTGTGATTTTCACATTTTTCTGTCGGATAGTGGAGTTTGCTTTCCTTTTAACAGAGGAAATATTCTGAATATGAAAAGAAATCGTTAAAGAACCCTAGATCATGAGCGTTTTCAAGTTTTAATATTTTTTCTGAAAAAAAAACAAAAATAAAAAATCATCACCCCTTATATAAAAGTCTTCACTACGTCCAATTATTCTTAAAAAACTTCTTTTTCTTAGACTGAGTTTTAGCATTGAATTATATGAGAATGTTGAAAAACTAAATACTGATAGTCGGTTGCTGAGCAAGTAGCACAGAACGTTCCGACCGCAGATGTTTATTAATCGTGGTGGGATAAGAATATTATAAAATTGCATAAATCGTAGTTTAATTAGGCATATTTAACAACAATTGCTCTCGAAAATTGAATAACAAAAAAAAAGAAATAAAAGAAACCTTCGTAATAAATATTGTAGTGGAAGCAATATTCCAATAATCTGTTGTTTTCTTAAGCATTTAAGTGTTTCAAAACTAACAAAATCAATTGTGGATATAGAGGGTTTAAAAATGCGCATTTGAAAATGCGTTTTTCGAAGTTTTATATAATATTTTAACCAAAAAATGGGTTTTTGACGCGCTCTTCCTTTCAAAAAGAGTAATAATTAACTCCAACTCGTCTTTAGAAAAAATAAGTTTGCTTGACGAAAAACTGATTTGATGCCATAATGAAGTACCAAGTGCAAGAAACCGAACCCGTTGACAGCTATCTCTTGGCAACTCAAAGTTTCCGCTTTTGGTACAATTTTACGAGATCAACTTTCAGTCTAACAACTCTTAGACTTTCTGTGAATAGCATCATTGTTTGTCCTCTAATTTTGACGTGGAGCGCGTGCCAAAAAAACCCAATTTTTTGGCACATTTTCAAGTGGCGAAAAATTCGCCAATATAAGGGCGTTATAGAGTTTTTGTAGAGCTCGGATAAAAATTAGAAAAAAATAGAAAAATCTGCTCAAAATTGTTTCTGTTCTTTCAAAACTCGTAATATTGATTGAGTAATGTCACTGGCGGTGTTTCGTCTATTTTGCCTTCGAGCAATTTCTTCTCTAAACACTCCAACCCGAAGGATTGGGAAAGTTTGTGGCCTTTTTAATAAAAACTAAACCACAGGAAACGTCCGCACTCTGACATGAGCTGTTGATAAGCAGAATGATAAAAAACAACTTTAAAACACTATTACCTTTTTTCCATGCTAAAGTTTTCTTCGCGTTTGCATGAAAAAATAATAAGTACAGTTATGGATTTGCAATTTTTTTGATGTTCATGGGTTACTTTCATGGGTTCTGGAGAAAACCATTGCTGGCCCATTTTTAACGCTCAATCGTTTTTCGACACGTTACTGCTTCTAATATTTGAGCAAGATACTTAATTAAAATGGCCTTTAGTTTTTCCAAGTACTATTCTTATTCAGAATTCCCAGCCTTCAAAACGTTCCAACTCAATTTTGCTCGCATGTTGGATTACAAAGTCTGATATTCCAAATCCATTTTGGAAACTGGTCTCTTATCGATACCAAAAATAGTCTTCAAAACAACGACCGTTTGGGTCCGAATTTATAGCCAGAATTCAAGTGAAATCCTTATATGCAATTCGATAGAAGAAAACTAGTACCTAGGTTAATATACTATCAGGGTATCTCGCGGGGACTTCAGCAACCGGTCAGAAAATCAAAATACATTACTAACTTCTAGGTGGCCTTTTGCCCTCGCTAATGGGTACGGTGCAGATATCCGATACGTACAACATCCGAAAAACGGAACCTTGTAGCAAGCATCTGAAAAACAGCGTCACTAGAGCAAAGATCTGACATCAAAGTAGGACATTGTCATATTACAAAATTATTATGTAAACTAGGATGTTACATTGTACATTATGGACAAAGATCAGACATCGGGGATCAAGTTTACATCCTCCTCCCCCCCAAATAGACCAAGTTAAGATCCTCCGCCCCAGCGTTCATTTTAATTTAAATCTACGTAGCGCTGCATGTAAAATGCTCTATTCTGATGGGCTGAATATTCAAATTTAGAACCAAGTTAACATCCTCCCCCCTAAACGGATTTGGGGGGAGGATGTTAACTTGGTCCGACATGGGCAAGCTATTAGGTAGTTATAATGTAAATTCGGATGTTCGTGACAGTTTCTCATTTCGGATATTTGACATATCGGCTGCTTGCACTGAACCTTTTGTTAAGTTTTTCAAAAACAGCCTTCAAAACCCAATCATATAAATAAATACACCTACTTTGAACAAGACCCAAAATTTACAACGCTTTTGCTCGAAAACTTTGGAAGACCGTTGGAGTTTTCCAAAATATCCCCGTAGTTTGTTTAAACGGCCAGAGGGTTTTAGATTCGAGATTTGAAATTTTTGATTTATCTGAAGTTTATGTTTTGCAACTGTGCGGCTCTAAATACCAATTCTATTTCGACTTCTCAAATTATTCTCTTCATATGAGGTTAGTGACGTAAATTGGGTTGATTTCTTGAAATTTTTTTTCAATCTTAAAATAAAATCGTTTTCTGATTTGAATATGTCGGATATTTTTGAGAAAAATCTAGTAGATGAATTAAAATTGCATCTGTTTATTCATAGTCAAGGTTTTGCAGTCTCGATTTTTTTTCAACTGACAGTATTTTGTTAAAATCATTTACATTTTGATCAACTTGAACTTAAGATTTTGCAACCTTAAAAAATTTTTTTGCATTATAATAGAAACAAAAAAGCCTTTAATTTGTAAAAATAAAAAAACCAATAATAAAACCATAAGTTCAAATGTCTTTTAAAAGAAAAACTTTAACATCTATTGGAGTAAAATTCAAAATTCGATCGAGGGTTTTGAATTTTAAAAACAGACGGTTTGGTGCATTTGACTTCATGATAAGGTTTTACCTATCGCATAGGCGGATCAAGTCTTCACTCCTCTCAAAACGCTTAAAAACCGGATCACTGGAAAGCTAAAACGTGAATAATATACAACGTGAAGACTGCGTCTGGCTTTTCTTAAACTCGCCGTCAGCCTATACACTTTTTCAGTACCTTGTAGAAACAAAAATGTATTCAAATTTGAGAAACGAAAAAATCGAAATTCAAACAAAAAATATTCCAATAAGAATATACCAATGAGTTTTTGGTATTACATAATTCTTTCCAATTGCAATAACAAATGTTCCGTTACTTTCGTATCGAAAGTCGGAACAAAAAAGTCAATATCTCAAAAAAACAGAAAACAAACTGACTCGTTTCTAGAAAATTAAAAATTTAGAAATTCAAAATTAAAAAAATATGATCCTAAAGCTCATTGAATTTTAGGAACAATTTATAATTGATTCTTTTTCGATAGAATTACTTCAATTTGAGAAACGGGATCGTTAGGTAAAATTTTATTCCACTGTGAAATCTAAAAACTAAAATCCATTTTCGAAACTGAAGGCCGATCACATTTTGCTGTTTGATAGTGGAGTTTGCTTTTCTTTTAACAAAAGAAATGATCGGAATCTTAAAAACATCGAAAACCAAAGAGCAAAAAATCAAATTTGAATTCGAAAAAGCTTAAGACTCTGCCTAAAAATCATCAGGACCTATATAAGAGCTTTTACTACGTTCATCGATTTTCAACAAAATTTGAGTAAAATTTGAAATTGATCATCTACTACTAAAAGTGATTTAACCCCAAGTGAAAATGGGATCTACTTAACAATTGCCCCCCCCCTTTTAAGAATGGGGGGAAATTGTTAAGTAGATTAATAAAAAACGCATTTTCGACCGATCAGAATGCGGCAAAATTCTAATTCTCAATAGAAAGCTCAGTGCTAATTTACTGCTTTTAATAATAGGGGTGGCAATTTTTAAGTAGATACCAAAGGGGGGGAGCAATTGTTAAGTAGATCCTAAAAACGTACTGTTGGTTCAAAATTCATTAACATGCTTCTTTCATTACAAACAAAATTTATATGAGCAGAGCAGTTTCGCATCTTAAAACTGAAAATTAAACCACATCATAAAACGGAATGCTCAAAAAAACTAAACGGAGTTTAGGATTGAACATATTTACGGAAAAAGCCTAATATTTATCCAAATTTTTTCCAAATTGCACTTTTTGTCGACTTATTTCGGTTGATCAAAATAATTTTCTGAGCTCTTCAAAACATCCTGCAACAACTTTTGACGCCACAGGCAAAATAATTTTTGAGGAAATTTTTGATTAGAAAAAGCGTTTTCTTGGCTCGCACTCCTATTTTTAATTAAAAACAGCATGATGAAATAAAAGAAAGAAGAAAAAAATAATCGGTTTTTTTTTTCAAAAATAATTTCAACATTCGAGTTTCAAAGAAAAATAAATATCACGTGAAATTCTTTGAATTTGAAATTTATGTTTTTTATTAACGTTTTTTCATAAAATTTCAACTCCATGGGAGAAAACAGGATCATTAGTTAAATTTTTTGTTCCGCTGAGAAATCTAAAAATAAAATATAACTTTGAAACCAAAAATATTTCACGTTTCGTGAGTTATTTGCGTTTTAGTTTTCTTACAATTTTTTTCTAATTCTTCATTTAACTGCGCGTTTTAGTTAGCACAACAGCAACCCAATCCAAAAAGAGTTGAAAATGTCTCGAGAGTGGGCGAACTCAATTTGCGGCTGCTTCGCTAACATCCCCTGGTGTTGCATCACCGTGTTCTGTCCATGCGCCACCTCATACAACGTCGGCACCCGAATCGGTCTCACTTGTATGGCCATTACCTCGGTCATACTATGGATCGCATTCCATTTATGCGGCTACCTGCTTGGAGTGAGTGGAACTAAGGCGGAATTTGACTGGGAAAGCTACAAGACAATTGACGGGGACCAAATCAAAGACGACCCGTGGAGCGTGGCGGTTGCTATCGCTGACATCTGCATGCTTATTTTCATTCTGCTCTTCATCTTCATCGTGTACAGGATGAGAGTTAACATGAGGAAGAGCTATGACCTTGAGGGGGGATGTTGCACGGACTGTCTATGGGGATGTATCTGCTGGCCGCTTTCGCTGTGCCAGATGAAAAACCACATCGAGTATGAAGGAGTCCATGTTACACGAGCTTAAACCTGATTGGCCAATCCGGTTTAACCAATTAAAAACGGAGAAAAAACTTGATTTGTACGAGATTCAAGCTGAGACGATAAGGTTTTTTAAAACTTTAAAAAACTACCCATTTTGATCTTGATGACCGCCTGAAAAAATGAAACCAACAAAAATCATACTAACTCCGCAAGAAATTGAACTATAATAAAAATTATGACAATCGCATAGAAAATTGAAAACAAGGGTGAAAAAATCATTGGAAGTCATCGACAATCAACAAACTCTTTCATCTATTGCTTAGTTTTTTGTAGCTTTGATTTTGCATGTTAACACTTTTTTTCATAACTCAAAACTTGGTATGCTTTCAAAATTGTGAACAATATTTGATAAAATTGTCAATGTTTTGTTTGATAAGGGCTCATAGTATTAGACAAATCATGTACCCATTTTAAAGCTTTTGTGACGTGAAATAAATGATTTATCTTGTTATAATTTTAAGTTAGTGTTATAAGTTTTCTATTTTTCTACCATATACCAGTCTGGTTATTACGCGCGTCATGTGAATACGTTTGAAGGAAGAGCTGAAAGTCCTGAATCGAATGGGCGAAAATGATTGAGCGCAAACAAATGGTAACTCGCTTGAAAATCTATTTGATGTCAATTAACCAAACGCCATATATTTCAGCGAAACTGCCTGCTTGAACGCGAATCATAAATTTTAGCTCCAATATAAAAGGCTCTAGATTAAAAATCTAGACTAATATTTCCATTAAGCATAGTGAAATTTACAGTTTTAAACAAACATCTATTTATGCTGCAGAAAATTAAAGTTACCTAAAATAAAAAATAGTTTAAAAATGACTTTCTGACCTGTTTGACCCATGCTGTGTAGTGAAGCATCTCGTACTCCAGCAGACATTTGGCCAGTCTGTTGTACACTTTGATGTGCTTCTTCCCTTCCGCCGACTCCATCAAAGCGGGCGCCTTCTCCTGCAGCTCCCAAATGGGCCCATTGATCCTCTCGAACAGAATGCGCGACCACGTGATCTTGCCTAAATTACGCATAAATTATGAGATCAAGATCACATACTATTTTAAAAACCTTTACTAAAAAATGTATATAGCCAGCAGAAAATGAGAAGCGTGTCACTGAATTCAAATAAACCAAAAAAGATTGTTTCTTTTTGCATGTTTTTTGAGCACGTAACATTTTGAATTTTTGACAGACTTCCTTTTAACAAAATATTTCGAAGTGAGTCTAAATTGAAAAATAATCAAATTTCAAAGCGCATAGTTTCAAAATCAGTCAAGCGTAAGGGGGGGTTACAAAAACTGTGATAGTTAATGCGCGCAAAAATTCCAGTTTTCATTACCGCTTAATAATTGAGTCGTTTCATTCCGGCTCAGAAAACATTTGGTATTGAATTGATGCACACCAATTGATCCAAATATTGTGTTCATTGATGCAAATTGAATCATTTTGTGTTTGTTTTATTATGAAACTTTTTACTTCTGAAAAAATGATAACTTTTGATTTTATTTTTCAAAATTTAAACCAAAATAATATGTGACACCTTAAAATTCAGCGCTTTACCTAAATAGTAGCAGTCTGATTCTATTTAAAAATAGTTTTTGTTTTATTTCATTACAAATTTTCAGAATTTTTGCAATTTTCCAATAAAAGTTAACAATCGAGAGAGTTCATGACAGGGCCCGAATGTCCCGAGTGTCTTTCAAGAAGTCTCAAATAACTTCAGGTAAAAAAAAGATCTTGGCAACAAGAGCTAAATGTACTAGTTTAAAATTTCTTGAACTTATTATACTGATGGGGGTTGAAATGAAGATTTTCATAATTTCAAAAAAGGGCTTCACCCAAAGTCTTTGTTGTTTCTTGAATAAAATAAGAAAGGGTGAAATTTTTTAAGACATCAGAGTTTTCCCAACGATGAAACTTTTTATTACAAATTATAAGGCGAAGCTGTTTCTGCACGAAATCTTGGCACAACCTGTTGCCTCGATTCAAGCCTTGATACCAGATTCGGCTGAGTAGTTTTCGAGAAAAGTCAAACAGTTTCAAAAAGCGAACAAAAAATCAAAATATAGTTTGAAAAAACTGTCAAAGAAGCACAACTTTGACTTTTCCGAGGTCCATAACTTTTTTTGGAAAAAAATTGAGCATACTTTTTTTCATAGCCTGCTTTATCCGTTGAATCTACAATCTCAGATTTGGCAAAGTAGTTTTTGAAAAAATGGAAAAAATCTGAAAGTATGGGTCAAAAATTCTCCTATGGACTATTGCTAAGGCTGTAGAAAATCGGTAAAGGTAAAAAGATACTAGACGTATGTGAAGGCTCACAGCGGAGTATGTGGTCTTCCATCGGTGCCACTTTTTGAAAATCGAAAAAGCAGTTTTTTTAGGAAAATTAAAATATTTGAGAATAGTGAAAAATTTTTTCGAAACGTCTCAAAAAAGTAATAAAAAATATGAAAAAAGCAAATTCCATACTTTTCATAATACCTGTTTTCATCAATCAGGAATTTGAATTTGATATGACTTTTAAAGTTTTTAAAAACAATTTTATATCACCCAATGAAAATTTCAGTGATATATTTTGCTTCAATTAGCACTTCGTTTGAGTTAATTAGTGCGTCTTACATTATTTTCGAGTGATTTGCTGAGCGAATCAATTCGCCGAAATTGTTACTCTTTAATAGATAACTGGAATTTTTTGCGCTCTATAATTGTTCTAAGTTGGCCTTAATGGCTATTTTGTATCTCCCATAATTTTCTAAAAATAATCACAGGTGCAATATTTTCTGATGTTCGTGCTCGAAGTATCAATATCTTTTCCATGGTATGAATATGGCCGTCAAAAATGATTATTTAAAGCTTTAGAATTGTTCTAAATAAAAACACCATTACAAGCGAAATTTTTCTTGTCACTTTCTCGAAATTCGGAATAATACGGTTACTGTACGTTACTAGAATCCAAGGCTGGATTTAGGTGGGAGTTTTTACGTTAGTAATATAGCTGTACTTAATAACTTTTGGTCAAACTAAAACTACACTGCTTCTAAACGCCTGGAATGCCGTTATATACTGTATTGAGGGGACTTATTTAGGCTTTTTTTTACCTTTCAGGAGTGCTCAGAACAGGTTTTTATCGACTTTAAAAAAAAGAAAGCAATTTTTTTTATTTTTAGAAAATCGGCGTAACCAACTATCCCACCTTACAAAATGTTAGGTTTACCCCTTCTGCCGCATTGACCTAAATATGTCATTTAAAAAATTTATACCATTTCAATTTTGAAACGAACAAAATTTCGTTGTTTACCTGCAATTGGAGGGTAGTTGTTGTTTAGTGGAGGGTCTGTTTTCTGCTTGGTGTATATTTTGTTCACATTCTCCACTTCCCGGCCGTACTGTTGTAGTATCTTGTAGTACACATCGGAGACTCCGAGGTCGGGGAGGTTCAACCTGAACAACGAACCATAAGATATTTTACGCTGATGGCTTTCCAAGTTTCTGCGAAGCACTGTTTTATGAAAAACAGAAATATTACAAAGAAATACCTCTGAAAAGGGACATTTGGGTGATCAAGGGTCAAATAAATGGGGAAGAGGTCAAACAAGCGCTGGATTGATAAAAAGTAAACGTGATTTATGTTTGTTTAGTTACGCATCACGCTGTTAAATAAAAAAAGAGATATTTTCCAGCTTGGTTTTTTTTGTGAATATTGACACTTTGTTTCTAGCAAAACTTTTTAAATTTTTCTTGTAGCTCTTAAAAACTAGAACATTTCTGGGGAACGTTGAGCGTTATTTTTTATAAGAAAAATAGATCAATTAAACTTACTTCTCAAATTTTTCGGCAATCTTCAATGCGTTATGTGTATGTAAACCTCTCTCAAAAATATCCAACATGAGTTTGCGAATCTCGTCCTGCAGTTTTCCCGTCTTTCGTTTCATTTCTTCGAAATCATTGTCAAAGTCGGGCCTTCTTGCGTCCAAAAAGTCGTACTTTTTGCCCTTCATTTCCGAAATCATAGCTTGAATTCGAGTCGAAGCCGCTTCCAACCCCTCAATTTTTGCGTCGCCTAGATTCTCGAAGTTCTTAATGATTTCAAACATTTCCATGATTTTGTTCACACGTCGCACGAAGGTGTCAAATTTCCCGAAAACATACATTTCAGAGAACTCGAATTTTTTCTCTTCCTGCATTTCTTCGAGTCGTTTCTTGGCGAGTTTGAACTGCCGCTGATACTCGGCGTTTAAGTCGACACTCACTTGAAGTTTCTTAATCAAAACTTCCCTTTCTTGGCTCCAAATTGTCTCCGTTCCTCCGACTGTTATGTAACTCTTACATGCTAAAAAATATTTACGAGTTCGTAAATATAACCGAAAGAAAACAAAAGCTAAAAAATTAAATTTAGAGCAAAGCGACAGAATTCAATATAAGGGCATGCAAATAGGGCACTAAAGATGCTGATGTAATAAAACAAAAAATTTTATCTGAATTTCTTCTTTTTAAAAAATTTGAACAAAAATGTTGTTGACTTGACCGACCACTGAGCACGTGACAAGAACTAGACTGACCTGTGATCATCTGATTGGTCACTTTGATGAAGAGTGACGTCATTCGCTCCGAGGTGTTGTAGAACTGGCTGATGGTGTAGATCATCCTGATTGCATTGATCAGTCCTGGGATTGCATCCACCATTGAGACCTGAACAAACAACACAGCACTTAGAAAATAAAAGGCACTTTCCTTTCATTTGATTCACTTAGTCTATAAAGAGTTGTGTAGTTGAGGTTTTTCTAATCAAAAAACGACGTCATAAGTTATTGACCTGTCAAAGCATCAACTCTCTTGCTGTAGTTTGTCATGATAAATCTTACAGTAGTTTGTCTTCTAATTTCGAAAATCCATTTCAAAATTTTCGCTAGTGGAGTTTGCTTTCCTTCTAACAAAACAAACGAACTGAACTTATGATGAAATCAAAATTGGTAATTGATAGAAAAATCGGCTTTTTAAGGCCCACCAAGATCCGTGTTTAATGTTAGCAGTTCAGGGAACAAAGCCAGCCCAGAAATAAATAGTCAAAATTTGCTGGTAATTTTTGAGCAGGGGCATAACGTGAGGAGCTGAACAGCTGGTATGTTGGTCCTTTTTCTTGTGTATGTATCTCCTTACGGGGAGGGTTCTCATGCTTGAAGGACCGAATGCTTGAAAAGTTTCAACCAATCAAAATCGCTAAGCGTTCCTATTGGCTAAATGCCTTTCTCACAAAATCGAAGTCAATATTAACAGAAAATGGTTTAAATCAGTGGAAAATAATCAAAATATTACAAATTGGGGTTACAACCGCAATACTATTTATATAAACATCAAGATTTATGAGTTCAAGTTCATAAAAATTTTTCAGTCTTGAAAACTCATCTGCTTATTATCTAATCGGTCACAAATAACACTAATGGCCTGGATTTATTTTCTTACTTTGAGATTTTCACGATTTACTTTGAGACTTTGAATGCTCAATTCTGATTGGCTGAAAGTAAGCTAAAATAAATTTCAAGCATTCGGTCCTTCAAGCATGAGGGACGCCACCTCTCCTTACTTAACTTAATTGATGGATCAAAACAATTATATGCATTTGATCATAATACGTGCATTTGCACAGAAGTCCATTCATACATTCCGGCCATATATCAAAGTAAAGTGAGACAATTGGTAAAATATTTTCAGTTTTGCGGGGAAGTCTGAAATCCATAAATTAACTAAAGTTCTAAAAAAGCAAGTAGCACAAAATGTTCCGATCATAGATAGTCTTTCGAAAACTACGGTTTAGAAAGTTTTTTTTCCAAATTAGTGTAGTTTTTTTCTGCTTCGTGTGATAAAAAGATCTGACGTAAGAATATAAATTAGGCATATTAAAAAATCATAGTAATATAGGCAAATTGTTTAAAAATTTTTGTAGAAACATGACTAGAAAAACTGCAAAAAAAATTTAAAAAAAATTATTTTCTCAAAAATTTTTGAGGAAAGTTTATGAATTTATGTTTAAGTTTTTGATTTAAGTTTTTGATTCCTAAAATGAAGCTAAAAAAATTCCAAAAACTAATTAACTTTTTTCGATTATAATTAACTTTTAAGGTCGTAAATTAGGCATAATTCAGCTTGTAAGTCTTCACGCTTACGCCATATTAGTTCGAAAATAGATCAAAAATCAAAAATTTCTAACCGGTTTTTCTCAACTTTGGGGAAATTTTTTCAAAACTTTTAAATTTTGTTCGAATCACGACTGAAAAAGCTTTAATATGATATATCACTCGACCCAGTCCAATGATTATTTGTGGTATCTGATTTTGCCTAAAAAAACTAAAACACACCCGAATACAAAGTTCCTCTCCATTTTTAATGGTCGGAACAACAAGCTCGATTCCCTATTGGAAAGATATTCTCATTCAATTTGATGCGTAAAGTATGCAAAAAGCAAATGAAATGAAAACTGATATTGATAATCAAAAATTCAAAAAAAACTATGAAGAAACAAAAGATTTTCATAAAAACTACCACGCAATCTATATAAAGGGAAAACGCTCATTGTTCTTTAATGCGTAATATTCATCAAAAGATGCTTTTTTCAATTGCATTTTTGAGAAATTTAAATTCCTAAGTTATTATCTGACGCTAAATTTTTTGTTGTCCTATCAAATTAGCTGATTAGTTTTTTCTATGTGCAATTTTTTTTGTATTCCGAAACCAATTCTCAACTTTTCAACTTCAAACAAACTAACAATGTTGTACAGATTAAGATGCTGCCGCTCAATACCTTAAGTACTCTAATTCAATAAAATTGTACTAACTCAACTCAAAAATTCAAGAACTTCAAAGGTATAACATAAAAACAACACTGCTCGTAACTGGTCAAGAATACTTTTTGGAAATTAAACTATTTCAAACAATAAACTAATTTGATATATTAAAAATTAACTGCTAAGTTTGAGTCGTATATTGAACTAAAAGGACTATTTAACTTGCCACAATTCATTTTGGAAAACTGTTGTATTGCGGCATAATTTTAGACGCAGAGTTATTTCCCGTTACATTTTCTGCATCAAAATTTAGAAAGAGGGACCGCAAAATCAGGTTAATATAGAGCTATGCACACCCTGCTGAGTTCTCGAAGACAAGGAAATAGCGAGCAAAGGAAACCGAAGTGAGCAACTATTCTTTTGTAAATTCTCCTGTATAAAAAAACAATCAGCAATGATTTTGCGAGGTATAACTTGACAACTTAGAGCTTTCAATGCGTACTTTTTGCTTGGAAATTCCGTTCGCTTATATGAGTGCTGGACTTAACATAGACAACAGAGAGTTGGAAAAAGTCAATGGATGCAAGTAAACAAAAGCAAAACTGCTCGTATCAGGGCGAGGCCCTGAACGTTCCGACTGCCCCTTAAGGTCTATGGAGCAGCAATAACTAAAAAAAATTAAATTAAAAAAAATAAAATGACATGAAAAATTAAATGTAGAAAATAAAAAAAATTTTTCTTAACTTAGTATTTTTGCAAAAATCATCCACTCACACGCCATATAAAATACAAAGTGATAGATTTCGCTTCGCTCCTAGTAACAAATCAAGTATGGCAAAAATCTTCCTTTAACCAATTTGGAACCTTTTCTAAGACGGATTAAATCTCCGTTTATGCGTAAATAGCGCAAAATATATCTCGCGTTAACTGTCCCATATTGAAAAAATCTTTAAACCCCCATTGTTTTACGAAAAATGATCACAGGTGAAATATATTTTCACTCAAGACAACAATACATTTCGAATAATATAAGAAAATCTTAAAGAGCCAAAATTTGTCAGAAGAAAAAAAAACCCATCCCGAGCACAAAGATTCCGTTACTTTCGTTACAAAAGTCGGAACAAAAAATAAACAAAAACTTGGAAAAGAGTCAATGAACGCAAGTAAACAGAAAAAACATTGACTTATTTTTAAAAATCTCAAATTTTAAAATTCAAAAAAAAAATAGATGACCCTAAAGTTTTTGGATTTTCTAGAATCAAAAATAATTTACACTTTTCTGATAAACTAACCAAATATGAGAGAACTGGACCAAGATGTAAAGTTTTAGTTCCGGTGGGAAATCTTAGTAAAATCCATTTTTGAAACTATAAGTTGATCACGTTTTTTACCCTGGAAACTTTTGCTAATGGAGTTTGCTTTCTTTCTAACCTAAGAAATGAGCTGAACTTAAGATGCAATCAACAGTCAAACCGCACAATTACATTCGAAAGAAAAATTTTAATGTTTTTCCTGAAAAAAAAACATCACGACTTATATAAGTGTATGAAGTACGTGCATAAAAAATGTTTAGTTTCTTAGATATTTTGAGCTGGTACATTATTTAGAAAATGTTTATACAGCGTCAGAAAGCAGTAAACCATTAAATTAATCAATTTCATAACTTAACCTAAGAACATTTTACTAGTTTTGAGATTTTGGCAGAAAAAGAGTTTTCCTGTCCTTAGTCTCAACCTCGCGTCCCATTATAAGAGCAATTGTCTTGTTCTTTAAACTGATAGCACTTTTATGACCTTAAATTTGGAGAAACGAAATAGCTTTCTTTGTTAAATTAGGAGACAAGTCTTACTGGGTCGCTGCTGTAGAGTGGGTCGCAGTACTTGTCGAGAGTGTAGAGGTACTTGACGTTGTCTTTGGCCTCATTGGCCAGAGTGGTGATCTTGCTGTCCAACTCCCTCCAATGCTTCAATGTATTACTTTTTGCCACTTGTAGACACACGAGAACTGCAGTAAAAAACAAACGTTACCAGTTTTTTTTGTTGTTGTTAACGGGCAGGTGGAAAAAAACTTTCGTACAATTTTTTATAGGCGAACATTAGGAAAATACGTTTTTCTTATGTTAAATTAAAGCTAGGGCATTGCAATCCTTTTGGCTCAATAAAGTAGAAAAACCAAAGTCGACTATAGATTTAAAAAACTGCCGTCAAAATCAAAGAGTTGAATTATGACCAGAGAAAAATTCAAGTCCACATTTTAAATCTTGATTGCTGAAAATACGTATGAACGGGAGGGAGCACCTGTTTTGACGTTGGCGCCCTTGATCTGGTCTATGAGGGAGGAGAACTTGGCCATCCTGTCCTTCCAGTACTGCAGTTCCGCGCGGGGTCCGATGTTGTCACTCTCCCGTCGCATCTGCTCACTCTCCGCCAACACCTAGACAGAGACAGAAACGAAGAGACATATTATAATGAGTTCAGAATGTTCTAGAACAATTTCGGCTCTTTTTCCTCCCCTCTCTCCCACCTGCATGTTTTTACAAATAAAATGAATGTTCACATTGTCGGATTGTTAAGAAAATGATATGCAGACTTATTAGGCCATGATAAACATTTGGTCTTCTTGACCTACCTTGTAAAATCACTCGCTACACCAAAAAATTGATGCTCGTGTGAGGTGGGGAAAAAGAAAAAGAGCCACAATTTCATCCAAATCAGATAAGCTTTTTTTGGCTTCATATGTGTGTCAAAATAAATTTAAGATCTTGTTTACATCAAACATTGATGCCATTCAATTCTAATATCCATTTATTAATAGTTCATTTTTGGTAAAGTGTTTGATTATTATTGTGATTGCAACATTCTGCGCTACTTGCAAAGCAACCCATTTCTCTTTTTGTCTATCTAAATACATACAGACCTCTTTAACTACCCCCTTTGAAAAAGGAGGGACTCGCTACTATCTACAGAATTCAAACATGCTCAACCGTTGAATTATTTCATTATATGGTGGCAACTAGTTACTTACCAAGAAGGGGAGTCAGAGAGATCCATACTTTTTACGAAATGCTAAACAGTGTTTAAACAGTCTGTAGGGATTTACCTGTGCGATTTGTTTGATCCATATGGCCATACATGCTTCTATCTTTTCCATACTCTCGAAGCTGTTGGCCACATTGTAGAAGTCATTGGCAGTCTTCAGATTACTCAGGTCATAAGTAGTACAGGGGGCTAGCTCGATCGTGTTGGAGCTGGAAGAAGCTGAATCTAACACCTAACATCAACAGATCATCATCGAAACAGCATACAAAAATTACAGTGCTGGATTGAAAAAATTATACACGAAACTTCAATATTGCTTTGACCATCCAATAAATTTTTTTTCTTCCATTTTTTAAGGAAGTTTTCCACAAAACTTTGATGTGAACAAACAACGCCGTCTAAATATTTTACGCATGTAATGTAAAAGATACCCAGTTAAATCATAAACATGATTTGTATTTTACCGCGATGAAGTTTTCGATGTCGTTCAGGAACTTCGATCTCTCCTTCTCCCCCTCTTCTCCCGCTAACTCCCCCCATCCCTTGTCCATTCTGGTCAGAGCTGGCATGTAGATGTCCTCGAACTGTTTCTTGATGGCACCTAACACTCCACCTGACTCGGTTGGGTCTAACATGTTGAAAAAAGTTACCTGAAATAGAGGAGCACAACTTCAGTAATTTTCAATTAGAACATTTACACGAAACTAAAATGATACGAGCTGTTTTTCTTGCATAAATTGGATTTTCGTCTTGGTTTATATTTTTTGCACCTAATCGACCCATTAATAAAAAAAATACTTCCTCCTAATTGCGACTCCTAAGCACAAAGTTAATTCCTTTTCACATTTTAGTTTTTAAACTTGATTAAAATTTTGAAAACGCTTAGGGATTTGTTTCACTATCGTGTCTCAAAAGAAACGACAAATAAAGAATATTTTCTGTTATACAACCCAAAAAATCAAGAGGTTAAATGAACAATTCTGTTTAAAATGTATTCTCAGATTTTTCAAATCACTTTTTCAGCCAATCAGACGAAATCAGTATTTTTCAATTTTGACAGTTTCATTTAGTCTGTCAATAAGAGTCTAGATATATTTACATCGGCGATGTTGTCGTGTGTGATGGCAATGGCAGTGTTGGTCCTCACAAAGTAGGCGCACAGTCCCCTCAGCGGGACATCCTTCCCATCTGTCACAAACAGTCTCTTCTTGTGACTCTTCAGTGCAGACTTGCCAACAATGTTGCGCCTAGATTCCTGGTCTGAAGCAATTAGATTAAGGGCTACCGATGGCAACGATATCATTCAAAGATGAGGACTGATTTTTGGTCTATAGTTTATAAGAGCCAAAAGTTTCTATAAAGTTTTATATTTCCGACTTAAAGAATTTCGCATTTCGGCTTCGAATGATATACCGTCGATAAGCATCATCTGACGACAAAAAAGAAACAAATTTTTGGATCAAAAAGGTTCTGACAACAATTTAAACTCAGTATGTTGTGAAACTCAATAGTTTGTTTTGTGTGAACTCTTCTGAACTTCTTGAGTTCTGTATTTAGCTTTGTAGCAATGACCTTGACTGACCTATTTCCTGGGTGACCTCCTCCTGGTAGAAGAACATGAGTGCCTTGGGTCCCTTGGCCTGGAAGAAGTGGTTCATCTTGTCTATCTGGCTCCCTTCCAGCAGGAAGTCCACAGCCGCCGAGGAGTCTATGCCGATACTTCTGGCCACCACTTCTATGATGTAGTTGTGTTTCTGGTCCAGCTGGCCTCTCTTCTGCTCACGCAGCGCCAGAATCTTCTCCTGAAACACAGAGACAGATTTGAAGGTCTAAGATTATGTTAAGAGAGGGAGCGGTGAGGGCGGGTTTGCAGAAAAGTTTGAGATGATTGGTAAATTCGTTCAATACCCTCGAAACACAGCAATCCTCAGAATTTGCGCGTGTTGAAACACATGTTGAATAATTGTAGTGGCTCTGCATCAAATACGGTACAAGAAGTTGAACTAAATTTGCAAAAAACTTGTTTTTTTTTCACTTTTTTGAAAATATTAGAAAAGTAAATCAATAAAGTAATTGAAATCGGAAATCTAAACAACGATTGAACTGAGGATTTATATTGCATCGTATCTTCAGTTTCTTATGTAACTCTGTTTGATTGTCTGTTCAAACCTGGACATGTTTGCTGGTTAGCTGTGTGGCTAGACCCTGGCTCACTTTCCTACACATGGGAACATAATTCTCCTTGCGATGATCAGCCAAGCCACTAACGACCTGCTGGCTATCCTTACCACTCATCAGTCCCAATTGACCTCATTAACAATAACTGGCTCTTTTCCACTCCGCCCTCTCCAAATTTTCCATTATGACTCATGTCTCTGTTTTTTTTGATAGAGTGATGAAAAAGCAATGTGCTTATATAGTTAATTTGATCGCCGGTGCATTATGACGATGTTAAAATAGTTTTCCCTGAAAACTGAAGATCCAGGGGGAGGGGGTGGAAAAGAACCAATAACTCACGAGAAACCGAAAATGATAAACCAGTTCAACGAACGAAAATTTCAAAGCTGTTTTCTACGCAATATTAATAAATGTTCGACGAAAATGACAAAAGCAATTCTTCACTTGTTTTAACAAAATATATATTTTTATTATTTGTTGTAATAGTAAAAATTGCCAAATTACACTTTCCACTGCCAATCAACAACCAACATAAAAAAACCACACGTTCTATTTTATCATTTTTAAAATGTGTGTCGGTATGCAATGATTAAAAAGGTGTTTGTGACAATTGATTGAATGAAAAAGGTCGTTAAATCATTGTATCTTCAAGTCCGCTCTTGAATCTTGAAACCATACTTCTCGTTAATTTTTAATTAGAAAACTCACCAACTTTAACACCGCTGAGGTTTGACGTTTACTCATTGCTAACTAGATTAGCTGTTGTTGTTTTTCATAAAATACACACTTTTTGACCAAATACAAGAGTAGATTTTTTGTCTCAGTAAATTGAGTAAGTAAATATTTTGATGATAATGCAATGAAAAGTAGATTTTAGAATTATTCAGAAAAAAAAACAGATTTGCGATCAGTTTAAGAAATTCTGTTTTGGTTGCAATTTGTGAAAGCAAAAAATGCAAAAACGTTTTTATTTGAAATTTCCTGAATAATTTATTAAAATGCAGGTGTATTAGATTTACTGAATGAAAAACGTAAAGAAAACTATCGCGAATTATGCGTAGTAAAATGATGTTTTTAGACCTCTAAGCAATTTTGAAAATTAGAGGTGATCTTACAGGTTCTAATTTTTTTTGGCCAATTTTTGGGAAGTTTTTGTAGGAAATAGTCTCAAATAGAGCACTCAAAACACTGGTAATGCACCTTTTGGTAGAACTGCTTGAATTAAAAAGCTTGAAAATAATACCTCATTTCTTTTCATAAGATCCGCAAGGGAGGAGCTAGGATTTTGTCGAGAATGAGGACTGCTTTTCAAAAAATATATATAAAAAAAAATGGACATGCACTTTCAAAAACATATCAGCACTCCTGAACGCCACAAAATACCTTATCTTACAGAAAAAAGTTTCACTGATGCTGTCAAATTGTTGCAATATAGATTATAAATGTTTTGGGCACTTTTTGTAAAATTTTGACCAAAATATTTTTGGCTCAGAATAAATATGTATATATTTTCTACCAAGGCAAGGCGCCATTCAAAATGCTTTCAGGTTGATCGGTCAACAGTGGAGAGCCCTTCCTAAATCCTCAAACTATGATCTGACAATAAATTATGATGCATAATTATGCATGCAACAACCAACGACTTTGTTGCCATGTTGGTCGTCGGAATAACAATTCTACTATTTCAAGAAGGCTCTTTTCCACTTTCCCTCCACATCTCAAATTTGCAAATTTCATAGTTGCTTTACATGTTATAATCGCATGTTACGATATGTAAAGCATGAAGATCAAATCTGTTCATAATAGATAGTTTGTTCATCATGCAAAGTTTCATCGACTTATGACTATTTTGAAATAGCTTTCAAAATGCAAACTCAAAAGTGGGTGGGAAAGGGGTTCGAGTTAGCCTGCAAGAACAGTAAACAAACTCACAGATTGCGTGGCAGCCTGTATGTTAGCCTGCAAATTGCGCAGTCGCGGACTCTTCAGAATGTTAGATTTGAGAAACACTGGTGCTACAGGAACACCTCCACGTGTAATATAGGGAGATGAAGGAGGTGGCGCGGTTTTCTTCTTAACTGAAGGGGTCGAAGAGTTCTCTATTGATAACTGTTTTATTAACTGCTTAGATTCCATAATTGATGTGAATGACTTCAATAAATTTATAACAAAAAATAGCCCTACTTTGAAAACAAATAATTATATTTGGTTTTTAATGAAGAAAATTGTACTATATGTAATACATAATAAGCCTGTTTTTGATAAACAAAAGCAAAAAGCAATTGCAAGTAAACACCATGTTTTGTTGATTTTCAGGAGGTCAGAATTTCAATGTGGAGGAGATTTAAATTATTTTAACTTATTATAAACAGGTGCATTTCCTTAAGCCTCTTGACTTGTTTGACTGTTTAAAAATAGTCATCTCAGGGAAACGATTTCTGTCAAATAGCAGTCACCCCTCAAAAATGTCTCGTCTTGTTTGGTTTTTACCACCAGTTTTAACTAAACGCTAGACGCGTCACCTAAACAAAACCACATAGAAAAAAAATATTTTATACAATCGTCTTGTCTGAACAAATTTTAGAATATTTTTTTCGAGCTAATGAAAACCCAATAAGAGATGAGAAAGCTGTTTATAAATGAAGGGAAGAACTTTCTATATATTTTTTGTTACGACCACCTGCGTTCGTCCACGTTTTATCAGGTATCACAAAAAACTCATGGAGGGTCGTTTGATGCATAATTCTGTAGCTAAAAAAATACTAGAAATAAGGAAAATGAGAAAAATGCAGGGAGTTTGCTCCATCGATGAATTACACCTAAGCGAACTAAAAAATTTACTCTCCGAAGTAATAAGACGAATACATGAAAAAGACGATTGAGCAATTTTATTTCAAAACAAGAAATAGACATATCACTCGATACTACTAGAAGAATAAAATCACTAACAAAAAGTTAACACAAAATGACAAAAAAAAACATCTATGCAAATACAGACACTTAAAAATGCTTTAATTTCAATATGAACATCATGAAAATTTTTTTAATTGAATTTAAACAGTCGATAGACAACCTATTGCAAAAACTCAGAGATACTAATGTAATTGATTGTGACTACTGCAACAAATTGTTACGGTAAAAAGCAATAAAATAAATAAAAAATAACAGCATCACAAAGCGTACACCCAAAAACAATCGTATAAATTGAAATAAAGACATTAAAATAAAAAAGTTTTTCAAGTCAGATTTTTTATCGTTTTTTTTTCTGCTCTTTCAAATTTTTTAAGGAACATATTGATAAAATGCGAGATATGTGAAATAGGAATTCAAAATTTCAGTTTTTTCTTAAATTTTTGAATTTTTTTTCTGGCTGAATGGTATATAGATTATCCAATCAGGCCCATAGAAGATAGTATTTAATTGAAAGTTCTGAGCGGCGATACATCGGTTTTGTTTCTAAAGACAGGGCAATTTCTTGAAACCTCGTTTGTAGTTTTTGTTAATGTCCATGTACAGCCATGTCCAGTTCTGAGTCAAAATTGTTCAAGTATTTATTTTGGTGTTCGTTTTCAAAAAAATATTCGTTTTTTTTTTGATAAAAAAGCCCGGGTTGACCAAAAATAGCATAAAAGGTCTATGATTAGTGATTTTTCATATATGGATATTGTATGACTAGCATTTTTCCAAAAACATAAAACATTGATTTCTTACATTTTAATAACTCAAAGTTTTTCGGTTGTGCTCGTAACCGAACACAAGTCACAAAAATTTTGGTTACTCAAATGTAGAAATACCAAAAGCTTGACGGTTTCGCATTAAAAATGCCTTGGAATTGACCCGAATTGTGTTAAATCTGCCTGTCACAAGTAATATAACGAAATTATCAAGTTTTTAAATTTTGGCAAAAACTTTCAACGATGATTATTTTTAAAATTTGAACATTTAACTTAACAGACATTGATCAAGGCATACATAAACAAGCCATACATTGGAAATAGGAGTTTTTAGCATTTTTAAAAAGATATTCGGCAAAAAGAAAAAAGTCCAACATTAGTTTATCCAGGACTACGTTATACACAAAAAAATTAAACTTTGCATGAAAATTTTTTTTCGAAAAATGTTTGTTTGAGTACAAAATCAATTTGCGGTTGAAAAAAACACATATATGGAAATCGTATGAGTAGCTGTTTTTGACAAAGAGTTGTTCTTTTTTATTTGGTACGATACACCCAATTTTATGCCAAAACAAAAAAAAACTTCTTCGAAATTTCGATAACAACTTTTTAGCAAAATGTATGAAATTTGTATGAGTAGTATTTTTTCATAGACTTAGTTTATGGAATTGTATGATTAGCATTTTTGGTCTATGGAGGTCAACCCTGGGAGTGTTTTTATCTTAAACGACTTCGTTTTTCTTATTTTTATAGGTTTAATTCTGCCTTGTATATACTACAAAAAGTTTTTAAGGGAAGCGCAGTTTTCTCAGTGGGCGGCCGAGCGCTAATTCTGGCGCAGAAGCACAGAGTTAAACAATTTTATTGTAATGACAGTTTGACTGTCCCTCCGACTGCTTATGAGTTCTCGAGCAGGGTTCAATCTTAAGTTTTTCTGGATTATGGATCGC